ATAGTTAATACAGGCGTGCATCGGTGGTACAGTGGTCAGGACTCTCGCCGCCCATGCACATGGTCCGAGGTTTGATTCCCTGCCGATGCACACCTGGTGTCTGATATCTCAGATAGCCAAACCGAGTGGCATGCCGTCAACTCATAAAGTAGGCAACGGTGCGAGAAAGTCGTTACTCGGGGAAAATTTCGACGGCCATCGCAACAGTCAGGAGCTTGTCACAATACTCGGACGGAAAGACCGATTAAGAGTAGACTTCCGTGGAAATCCGTCCTTGACGAGAGAATGATAGGACTGGTTAACGGTAATGCCTCAGTGTTTACGCCATGAGATGAGCTAGTAACTTCACCAGCTAGCGCAATTCAAAGGCTTTGTTACATTTTCGCGTGTTATTTCTCAATTCTTTTTTTACTCTATAGGCGACTTTTTAACAGGTCTCTCGACGATAGTATTAAATATTTAGTTCTATTCTTACATAGAATATAACTTTTACGGTTAAAATTATCCGTTATAGATAGTGTCCACCTAAGTGCTACTGTTATAGCATCTTCGCATTTAGCGTATTTGTATAGGGTATCTTAATATTCTATTTCTATATTCTTATTCCCATAAACTGTTAACTGCATACAGAACTAGACAGTTTAAACCCCCAACACTCTGAAACGGACCTTACAGACATATTGCTCATTCTCTTAAAATTAAGAATTTTAACTTTGTTCTAAATACCAATGGTCCAAACTAAGCGTATAACTCCACTGTTTGCTTCACATCCCAGTAAAAAAATCAAACCAAACAGAATATATTCTGTTGGGCTACTTATAAGTAGCCCTGCAGGAAGTTAGAGTACTACGTCTGTTGATTTAACAACTACATATACGTCTGCTGCGGTAGGCACGTCAAGTCCAGAATTTAAACTCCCCTCACTTGCTTGCGTATTAAACAGCATAATGGATGGTTTACACAGTGATACCACATGTAATGATCTAGGCCTCGTAGACACCTGCAAAGCGTCATGCGATAAGAATCACACGGCAAACATTCTTACTCCCATCACTAATCCAGTTTTTTGTTCTACACTTAGTTGTGAAGATAAAATCGAAGAACTATTTCTTATAATTAGGGGGCTTGAAGTTAAGATGTCAAAACTGGCACTGCCTACCCAATTAGACAAAAATGGGGAAAATCGTGTCTAAAATGGGGACAAAATGGCGACATTGCATTGAGTAAAAATGGGGAAAAAGTAAGATTTCCCCCCTTTTCCCCATTTTGTGTCCTTTATTACCCCATTTTCCCCATTTTGAAAATTCAAGTTGTCCCCACAATAACCCTATTTCTTCCCCACAATTACCCCATTTTCCCCATTCTGTCCCCTCAATTTCCCCATTCTGTCCCCACAATTACCCCATATTTCCCATTCTGTCCCTCATTTCCCCATTCTGTCCCCACAATTACCCCATTTCGTCCCCACAATTACCCCATTTGGTCACCGCAATTACGCCATTTCGTCCCCAGAAATCGCATAATTTCCGTATACTGTCCCCGGAATTTCTCTATTCTTTATTCGAATATTACCGCCATAATTTGTCCCCCTTTTTAACAAATAATCCACCGTTAACCTGGTAAGCTTCCCCCTTATCACTCATTTACTTATATTGATTATATATATATTGATTACGTCAAACAACTGAAAAGTCATATCAAGGTTTTTTACCGGAAAAAATTATATTTGATTTTTTTGAGTTAAAGGAAAACAGTTTACAAGATTTCGGTAAATTAATTCTTTAGGATTAATGAACAGTTTCAGTTGCGATTAATACACACAAGTAGACTGATTGCCTTGTAATTCCATATCTCATTGCACTTGTACTAATTCTCCACATCGTCAAGTAGATCCATTGAAGTGTCCTGAAAAGAAAGAAAAAAATTCATTAAGATAGTAATCCACACTGGCACTTATACAGACAGTTGACACTGTAATAATGAAGTACTTAACGTGTTTATTCAGCTTTAAAATTTTATTTCATTAATGAGTATAATTAAAATTATTTGACTACATAATAGAAATACTCACACTTAAAGACCTTAAGTTTCAGTAATTTCTACGGCATGTACTTATTTAAATGGTAACTTACAGGAGAGATCCTCTGGTCACTCTTCTTATTGTCAACTGCAACCTTTAAAAATAAAAACACAATTTAGTTAATTGATATTTATAACATGAAAGGGTTTGTAGTGTAGTAGCATTAATTTAATAAAAAACGTTTACTTACTCTTCGCCGGGTCTCCCTTTTGTCTATACGATCACGTATATCATGGAAGTAGGCCTTTACAGTCTTTTTTAGAATTTTCTTAACGTCGTCATCAGACATTGTAGCCGAAACGAACTTGCTGACAATGACGGCTAAAAGAAATAATTAAATTAAACAAGCTTACACGTTATAACTGCATAAAAGGTGCATTTAATGAGAGCCAATTTCCTTGGAGTTCCAAATGCTGTAAAACGACTTGACAGCTTAGGCTCCATAACATAATTTAGCGTCGCTCTCAACGAAGACTCCGGATTGAAAGATAATTTTTCCGCCATTTTCATCATCTGAAAGTAAGTAAAGGTTTATTGTGAACTTACGAATGATTCTTTAAATTTCGGATTTTAAGGTGACGCTTCCAATTGGGTGAACTCTTCTTCGGTAGTTAAGGGGAATTACAGTTGACTATTGTCAATGGTTGATTTCCCACTTCCAACGGTGGCCACACCCGTTGACTTATTCACTGACAACAATTGCGCCATCATTGTTTTCAGCGACTGAAGTTCTGCTTTCATTTCTCCTTTAAGGGACTGCATTTCCCCTCTAATTGACTGCAACTCATTGACTACTTTATTATCTGAATCACAGTTTTCCTTACTGCAAAGTAAATACTAATGAAAAATGACATACGTAGTCTGCTGAAATGGTTGCGCTATAGGTGAAGACGTTGCCACTGGCACTTGTTGAGTGGAAGTGCTGAAGGAGTAATGATATTAAAGGAATGCGTTACCTGGCTATCGGCGACATAACAGTTTCCATGAAATTTGTCGAAAGGTATTTTGAAGGCAAACAAACTTTCTGTGCCTCCACTGCTTCAAGTTCCACTGAGTTGTAAGCGTAAGAGGAGTTTTTTGTCTCAACTCTGCATTCTGTGATTAAGCAATAAGAGGAATCTACCTTTGACGTTTTGAATTGATAAGAGGTAATGTATCCTCCAGATTATCTGAATTGGAGAGTACACTGTGTATTCGTTTAGTAGCCTGCAAAGTATTCTTGGCTTCCATGAAAGAGTCTAATTACAGTAATGTAGGTAATACGTAAATAGTTACCTAGTTCAGCTAACATTTGACAATCCGTTAACACCCATTCCGGTCGAGGTCTTACGCAAGCCTCAACTTCATTATCTGTTATACTGCTATGATACAAGCACAGGTCTTCGGATAGCATCCAACTTCTGGCAGCTATGAATAATTCTTTGGAACCAGCTTTCCATAATACAGCATAATTCTTCTTTCCTTTCTGTAAGAAGTGATAAATATGATGTAAACAAAATTTACTGTCTTAATAGTCCGCTTGGTAATTGAATGCAGGAATGCCGACGATTGACACAACTGTCTAAGCAGGTTATGGAAAAGTATGAGGCAAAGGCACCGCAACTGCATACCTATCTGTACGAATTCCGAAACACTTACAAGTAATGTCTGACGGACGAATCTCTACCTTGTGTGGGCTAACTTTTGAGCATTTCCATATCCCAATGTGGGATGACTTAAATGGTTCCTCGAAGAAATCACTAAACTCTGCATAAGGTCTGAATATTAGCCTTTCCCTATTTATCTCAGTTTTCAGACCCGGTCTACCGTGAGCTATAACTAAGTTATCTGGTGAAGAGGAAGTAATAAGTGTATTCCTAGTGTTAACTGTTTGCCTACGTGCATCCACCTCACACTCATTTAAAACTTCACTGTGTACTCCTCCTGATTTGCACTCGTGGAATACCTTTTCAGCAAAACGGTTTGCCGCTTGCTTAGCGATTGCATTGTTTGAATGTATTGATCGCCTGATTGTCTGCATATAAGATTCAAATGGGAAGGCCGAAAAAGATTCCAACGGTCCCATTTGATTGGCATCTTCAGCCAAGTGTTGCAGACAATGGATGTTGTAAACTAGGTGCTTCCTACCATATATAACCTCAAACTGATTAAGAAAGTTGATTAACTCAACTCTGCAACCTTCTAAGTAATTTTTATAAAATCTAGGGTGAGAGAAAAGGTAAACTGCTAGACTTAATCTTTGGAAGTTGCGATAAATCGTCAGTGGCATTATGTCCTTAAGTACAACTGGTCCTAGGTACAGGAGGAACAGACGACATTCTGTGGCTTTCCACCGACTAACTTCGGTTAGCCCCCTACATTTCCTCGTGAAGTCCCTGGGTGTCATTCCAGCACAGTCTAATATCTTCCCGTCAATATCTCCTAGCATAAGACGGTCCACGTGCATCTCACATTTTTTAGCTAAGTCTTGCCAGAGACTTATAAGCTTCCTAACTACCCCTAAGTACACCAGGTGCATTGGATCAAGGGGGAAGCACTTAACCATATCAATGTTTAATTCCTCAAAAATGCAGTCTCCACGGTGGTGACTTGACTGCATCCTTTGACGGAAGCTGTCATCAGTTCTTATTGGGAAAAAGCCATTTCCAAATATCATTCTTCCATCAACTTTAACTCCGGTGACTGTGCATTTGTCGCAACCTGAACTAGCATTATGGCCTACCATATACTTCAAGTCCGCTCTAGCCGGCGCATCACAGATGACGGCTGTTAAACGAACGTTGAAATGCCTATGAAGTCTGGTAATGTGTATGCCTAGACTTAATATATCCTTCAGTTCAGATACTAAGTCAATGCATAACTCTTTGTAACTGCTGGGCTTGCTAGGACCACCATATATACCTATCTAGAAAACACTGCTTTAAAACGGTGCCGTAATCCTACCTAACAGGGGCCATAACTGCTGGTTAGAAGACTTCGAGATGGACAAACCGTCGACATTCAACTGCAGGTCAATCATGTTGCTGGGAATTTCAATCACAGACGACATCTCCATGTAGTGCTGCAAACATCTTTTGAGACCGATGTGGCAATACATTCCTTCTCCAAGTAGTCTTGACTTGCAAGAGTCACACATTATCAGTACACTTCTAACAGTTGTTGGAAGTTGAGACAATTTCACACGGAAGATCTCCAAGATTCTGTTAGCGTCTGCTTGTGAAATGTTCGTGGTGACTAGGATATTCAGAAGCAAACTTGTCAATTCATTACGTTCAGAAGAAACTTTTGTGCACATTTCCGAAGTACTAGCACGTGGTGTTACGCTGGTGCACGGTGTCGATGGCACTACCTCCATATAATTAGTCATACTATCAGTGTTCACTGAAGAGGGCTCGACCTCAAAACAGGAAGGACAGCATGCGAGACAGCTTCCGTTGACGTCGACGCTGAATTTATCTCGGCCATTATCTGCGCATAATTACGTTTATACCTTCTGTAAAACGTAGTGTAATGGCAGGTCAGTTGTAGATTACGCTCACGTAATCTCTTCAGGCTTTATGTAGGGTATTTAGTGTTAGACTAGGAGAAAATTAGAAAAGGGGGAACAGCGACCACCTGCCTGAATACTGAACAGTTTAAAAGTGCGCGCAAGGTGTGTAAGTGTAATAAAACAAACCCTGACATATGTAGCGCTGTGATTAACGTTTAGCAATGAAATTTGGCACTAATTGAACTGACTGGTCAGTAGGATTAAAAATTATTCAATAGGAAGATTTAGATTTCATTGATTTACGAAAAATGCAGCAGTTAATTCATGCATTTTATTCATTTCCAGCCTCGGTGAAGTATTTCCGACCTAAAACTTTTACTACTTACAAATTTTTCAGTAGTCTACCGAGGTAAGTAAAACTTTCAAACGCTTCCCCATTTTGTCCCCATTATTCGCATTTTGTCCCCACTTTTCAAATCTTGTCCCCATTATCCCTATTTTCTCCAAAATGTCCCCACTTTGTCCGATCGGGTAGTGAAACTGGCAGTATTAGTACTTCACCTAGAAAGTTACATCAAACTGCAAACCTTATAAACTACGTTGCAGCTGAAGTATATCAACGTGTAGTGCGCGGGAAGAACATAATTGTGTATAATGTACCGGATAATGCACAGATCAACAAGGTCAAAAGCACTCTTTTGAATGCATGCTCTATGAATAACGTCCCATGCAGCTGCCATCGACTAAGAAAGTCTCAGAAAAATAAATCTTGCACACTTGTGTTGAAATTTGACTCGTCCTCTAATGCTGACATCTTTTACAGTAGGCAAACACTACTAAAAAATACGCGTTACCACACGATTAAGTTAGCTCGTGACAAAACGCCTATCCAAAGAATGACTTATATGACCGATGCTAAAACCGTGAATCCCAACTCGTCTACAACACCCTGAGCACCCACAATTCTGTAGAGGCAGAGCAAAGGGGTGTGAACTTTTCTGTACAAAGCACATCGTTTTCGGAAACGAACTTTCGTGAAAATATAAGGTCCAAAAATGGTTCGATGTATAACCACAGACTAAGAAGGAAATCCACAGTGGATCCAGACTCCTCTGATAACGATCCCTGTACCCCGGTGACAAACTGCGGTATATAACACCCAGTATTCCCCAATCCAAGCAGTCTCAATTCCAGGAAGTTGAAAAGTGGGGCTACCAGTTCGTCCACAAAGACAGTGCATAGGAAGAGATTATTGCCACACACTAATTCAGATACTCACAGTTTGATGACACACCTCTCTTCAGAAACAAATGCTCACAAAACCAAAAGGGATAAAAACCGTAAAACGCAGCCCGAACCTCGTAGCTACTTGTCCAAAAAAGTTAAACCTCCCACCACTATAAACCAAAAGATTGATACACTTAACTATAGGGCGTCGAATAGTGATGAAGTAAATCGCAAAAATTCGAGTCAGTTTAGCTTGCTTGGTAGACCACCTCCACCTATTTACATGCCCATACTCAACGGGACTGACCATCCAGCGATCAGCGCTTTTACTGAAACGACATTACCATTTTTTATTCAGGTTCACAACATGACCTCAAACATACTACAAATGCTCACCACTCTCCACAGGTTTCGCCCCCCAACATAGATATGACAGCTCATACAGCAATGCCTAATTACTGCCTGGAGCTCACTTTACATGACTCAGACAATTCTCTTCTTCGTCAAAAACCCTCTACATCCTTTTCTTCTGATAGCCAATCTTCTTTACGTCCGAACATACTTGAACACGGAAATATAACTGACCCCCTTTGCACTTCGAGCTTTCCTAGGGCATCTACAGACATAGATATTTCATTGTCGTCTGAGGACACTATTTGCTTTGATAATCTTGTTCCTAAATGTAAAGAAAACCCAAGAGAAAACATAAAGAATTTCATTCCTATAAAAGTAAATGCTAAGCTGCGAAAGCTGTACCGACAGTACCACAGAGAAAACGACTTCTCATGTCTTCTAAATATACAGAACATTTATCTAGCTTTGAAAGAAAATAACGACAAAGCCCTACTCAGACAAGAACATGAAGCTCTTAAAGATAGCTCTAAATACACTGCAATCTGTAGGCTTTATCGCAAAAGGCTAAACTCCCGTAAAACGGATATACAATTCATTTTAGAAAATGGCCAAACCGCTAGTGACCCTAAAATAATTTGTAAGCTAAACTCCTATTTCTCACAGTCATATACCTATGATGATAATACGTTGCCACAACCTCTATTCCCTGTACGTTCACAAAAAACCTTAGAAATTATCAGCTTTTCTTCAGATAATATTAAGAAAGCAATCACTTCTCTTATAAGTTCAAACAACCCAGGTCCTGATATGATTCCCTCAACTTTTTTAAAATACGGTGGTGAAGACATTCCTATTCTCCTTCTTAAATTGTTCTCTACCTCTGTATCGACTGGAACATATCCAGATGCATGGAAAACCACGCAAATTACCCCTAGGTATAAGTCAGGCTCCCGTTCAAGTGTCATGAGTTACAGGCCCATTAACCTAACTTCTGTTATTTCAAGGGTTCTGGAAAAGATCGTGAAAAGTGCCATTTTTGACTTCCTCTCTCAAGAGAAACTTATCACTCCTTATCAACACGGTTTCATGAAGTCACGTTCTTGTACCACATGCCACTTACAATTTTTCGAACACATCTCACAACTTAAAGATTCCAGTATGATCACAGTTATCGTATACTTAGATCTTAGTAAAGCCTTTGACACTGTAAGCCACCGACTGTTAATATCAAAAGTCCAGTCCTATGGGATCCAAGGTTCATTGTTAAGCTGGACCAGTTCGTTTCTAAGCAACCGGATGCGAATGGTCAGGTTAGGTTTCCACACATCCAACCCCGTTCGGACTACAAGTGGAGTTATACAAGGTAGTGTCCTAGGTCCACTGCTATTCTTGTTATATTTTAATGACATTTACGACGTTATTAAACATGGCAGACCTTTCCTATTTGCCGATGACATCAAAATAGTGTATCACTCACTCAGAAATGAAGTGTCATGTGTATTTAGTAGGATTCAAGATGATATTGATAGCGTCCAGTTATGGTGTAACATGTGGAAAATGATGTTTAACGTTGAAAAATGTGGTGTGCTATACTCCAAAAGCATTTCATCTGAACTTTCTATCTCCCTACACAACAAACATATTCGTCGTCTGCCGCTTACAACAGACTTAGGTCTGAAATACACTCCACAATTTAGCCTGACGGAATGTGTTAAATTACAAGCATCAAAGGTCAAAAAGCTCTTTGGATTTTTATTCCGAAACTTTAAGACCAATGAATCCAAAATTATGCTGTACAAGTTGTGCGTAAGGCCCTTACTTGATTTTTGTCCCCCTATCATGGACAGTGTCTCCGTAAAAGACAAATGCAAATTGGAAAGTCTACAAAGGGCGTTTACTAAACGTCTAGTAGGTGAAAATCTTTGCATTTCTTACTACGACAGATGTAATCTATTCGCCTTGGAACCCTTATGGGTTAGACGACTGAAGTTCAACCTAAAAATAACATTTAGGATTGCTAAAGGGCTTATATATTTCCCCCACAATGACTTTACTTTCAGTTCACCCAAGAAATATAACCTGAGAAATAAATCTTCTTCTTTTAAAGTTCCCCGCTGTCATACAAGATACAGATCAAACCCTTTCACTGTGAGATACCGTTGCATTTGGAACCGTCTTCCAACTGAAATTAGAGACAGTCCCACCCCAAAAAATTTCTCATCTTTGCTGAACAAATATTTCATTAACAGCGGGTTAGAAGGGGTATGTGACAAACTAAAAATTAGAGGTCTGATACGGCACTCCTCTGACCCTCACTGTTAGCTCCTGAGATCTGTAAACCCTATGTTTGACACCACTTTCACTATGATTGCTTTCACAAGCGTAGCCACCTGATTTTAATCAGCCTTAAATTTAAAAATTTTTTTTCAAATATTTTTGCATATATCCCTGATAATATTGTATTATGAGTATTTCAGTATGCTAAGGTTCACTCTCGAGTTCCAGATGCAAATCAACTGAAGGCGACTGGTATTAAAATATCTCCGGAGCCTGCCTAGTGCTATAAGTCTAGCTATACGCAAATTAAGGCGAAAATGGTGGTTGTCTAAGTACTCAAATAAACGGTGAGTTTTAAATAGTAGTGACTCTTATCCTATTATTCTATAACTATAATCCTGTATGTTCAACTTTTCTTGAACAACATATTATAACTTGCCACTACTTATCTGCTCAATGCTGCACGATTATTCCCTGATTTTCTAAACTACATTTGCTTATATCTAAAATGAAGTCTCAGATAGCCTTTCTTTCTTACATTTTTCGTCTTCAAAATGCTGTAAAAGATGAAATATACATGATGTTCTTCTGAAAGTAGTCATTCATACCATAAATTTGAGCAAGTCGACGAAGGAATATTTGGAAAACAAAAAGTTTGTGGCATATTGCAACAGAAATTTAAAAAAATAAATAATTTTAAAAAAATGAAGCATTCCGCCAGGGCCTTGAACAAAAAAGGTGGGAGGGTGGTGACTGCTAGTCAGCGGATATGATGGTGGGGACATATGTGAACCACCCTTATCTGTGAGACAGCACTCTATTGCTAAGGCTCCTGAGTTCGGATGGCTTCTGCAAAATGAGAATAAATAAAAAAGTAAAAAATAATAAAAAAGAAAAGAAATAGAAGTTGAAAATTGCCTAGAGCCGAGATTTAAATGCAAACTCCCGAATGAAAGTAAATGGTATGAGCCCGCTACTTCAGAAGGACACCGAACTGTATACTTCAGAAAAACATATTA